TCTAAAGTCATTTTTGCTTATTAGTATGGTTGAACTGGATCATCAAAGGTCAGCAGCAAAGATATTGGTTAATAAATGGGATTAGATACATTTGTGTTATTTAACATATTTAATTATTGCAGATTTGCGTCATATTCTGAGTTTGCATTTCACTGTTTTAATTCAATTTGATGAATACTAAATCTGTTTTTTTGTGAGTGGGATGAATTAATTCACATTTAGTCTAGAACTACAGTAACATCATGTTCACAGAGCGCACACAACTCCTCTGCACTTCCGATTTCTCCCAATATGGGGACAGGAGACTTGTCAGTCAATAAATGGAAAACAAAGTAACTGGAGTTACTCAGATATTTTCTTGTAACTTAAAAAAGTAATGCGTTACTTTACTAGTTACTTGAAGAAAAGTAATCTGATTACGTAACTCGCGTTACTTGTAATGCGTTACCCCCAACACTGGTCGTGACACAAGTATTGGGTTGTGATGATATACAGTAACGGTGACCAGAGATCCACGCCATGCCGGTTCCTGCGTTAGCCATTTCATATGAGGCGTACATACGGGTTAAACTTCCGCTAAATCCACAAACTAAACCAGTTCGTGCAATTGATAAAATGTAGGGAATGACGCGCAGTCTTACCCTCTCCCTACAATCAGCCGCAGCGCCTCCAGGTTGCCGTGGTAAGCGGCCCATAGGGTCGGTGTCATGCCATCTTCATCCGGAGCGTTCAGGTCCTTCCGCGTCGCTTCTTTCAACAAGTCAAGGTAGCCATCCCGAGCTGCCTTGTGGTATTTGTCATTCATGGTGATCTCGAACCTCAGCCTCCATCACTCTTTCACTGGCTCTGTGCATTAGGTCTGGAACCCCTGACCGGCTGCAGCGCGCGTAAGGCACTTGGAGTTTCCAGGGACACCTCAGACGCGCTGCGGCTCGTGAGGGTGTGGCTTCAGCTCGTTCCTTCCAAAAACAACCTTTTCCCCATTTGGGATTCGAAATAATGTATTATTGGGTGAATGAAAGACATTCTTTAAAATAGCCCTGCTTCCACCCCCAAACTCACAAGCACACGAACAGCATTAAGAAACAGTTGTTTATTGCTTAATAAACATTCAAATAAAGTGGCACCAAAACGCACAAGGACTCTGAAACTACAACTAAATAAATACAAAAAAAAAAAAAAAAAAATTATGAAGTTGTAACATATTTTAGTTAAAAATATCTTCACCTGACTAGTTCGTTTGAAGTCAGTTTTTTTTTGTTGGAATGTTAAGCCTTAAATTAGGTTTGTGCTATATATTGCTTTGATATTTGGTATCATATTTTTAATTGTGGCTTTGGTGGACAATTATTTTCAGTTAGCCTACTGTATTTTCGTGATTTGACCCTTACGAAAATTAACCACGGTTTTGCTACAAATAAAACAAAAAAAACATGGTTACTATATTTAAACCAGTGTAACCACAAATTAACCATGGGTTTGCTACACTAACCATAGTTTAACCTTGGTATTTGTAGTAAAACTGTGGTTATACAAATGGTAGTCAATACGGCAAAAAACCATGGCTACTACAGTTTTACTGTAATAAAACCATGGTTAATTTTAGTAAGGGAATGTGAACTACCAAGTATGGCCTGCTATAATTTTCACATAAAAGTTGTCACAGTACTTTTAAATGTGTCGAATCAATATTTTTTATACTGCGTTTGTGAATTACCAGTCATTGAAACCTGGATTAATAGTTGCATCAATGTTATTTATGAGGGCTTTATATAGATGGCTTATATATCATGATGTCCCATCACTGTGGCATTATCACACACACCTCCACTGATGTTTGAGGATTTATAATGCCTATAACTGCATGGTGTATGGTAGATGTCAAATTGTTCATACATTTTGTTCTAATTATTTGTGTACTGTGTGTTGTGTCTGACAGGTTACAGGTCCTTCAGTGTTACGGCCGTAAATCTTTGTGTCACCAAGTGAATATATACACCATGAGGTGGCACGCTCCTCAGAAGGCCAGAGGTTCCTACTCGTGGTAAGTGAAGGACACTAACCATCATGCATATTAGTATGAATTGTGTTATACGGAATAGTGCTATTTTCTGCTAATTGAATAAATGTATATGACAAATAGTCTAGTATATAACTTTTGCACTATGTTTACTTTCGTAATTCTGTATTGTGGAACTGTTGCAAGATGCTTTGGGTGAAAGTGCCTGTTAATATTGCTTGTGTTAACATTAATAATCACCATGTTCTCACAGGACACAAAAGAAACAATGCACAGTTCCATTGTACTCAAACATTTACAATGAAATTGGGCGAGGCTGAATATCGCAATGACTGTGAAAACCGATATAAGCTGAGTTAATAAAGGCTTAATATTTTGAAAACAGATATGACTGAAGTACATAAAAGCTCAATATTTGTTGATGACTCAGAGCTGAGGGTGTCTGATCAGTACCTCACATTTCCTTCATCACCAAACAGAGTGCAGAGACTGTGCAGGTAGCCCTATTGTTAAACACTGTTATCACAATAGCTGGGAGCTATTGGCTGGCTTTGGTCCAGTGCAAGCAAAGGTGAAATCTTTTTAGATTTCCAATATTGTCAAGTCAGATTTGAGGATGCAGGTCCCTTCAGATGTGGGACAGACGCAGGGCTAGACGTAAGCGGAAGAGAAGACAGGTGATTGGTTGGAGACTTATGCGGGTTCAAGTATTTATACAGCTTGAGGAAACTAGGCTCCTTCCAATTATTTTGCATGACAACTTGCTTCATACTCTACAAATCCAGCAGACTCTATTTATTAACTTGGAGACTTAGAGCTTCACTAACAAATTGACTTGTGTTTTCTTGTGGACAGCTCTTCTAACTCACGCAACATGATGACAAAGCAAGACCTAGAAGCCATCGAGAACCAGATATCCACCATCCAAGTCAGTTCCCATGGAGAGACGGTCAACCCGGTACTTGCCCATGGCGGGTTCAAAACCGTGGAGAAGGGCCGCAACTGGGGATGGCTTCTGTCTGGATTCATCTCATTAAACATCCTTCTCCTTGGAATCGCCATAGTGAGCGGAAGCTTCTTCAACAAGATCCAGATCACTTCTTCTCATCTCCTGATTTTCCTCATCTTGCTTGTCATTCTCACCACCGTATGGATGGTTTACTACAAAATCCATACGTCGAGGGTGTACCGTGCAGTGCTCTACAAAGACAGTCACGCTGGACCAGTTTGGCTGAGAGGTGAGTCTTCATTTGTATGATCAAATCAATTTCTTATTTGAGAAAGACAATTTGGGTTGTTCTCACTATCTTTTATATCTTCTGTAGACATCTAGTGCTCATATTCTGCTTGTGTCTTCATCAGGTGGACTGGTTCTGTTTGGCGTCTGCAGTGTAATCATGGATATTTTCAAGATTATTTATTACGTGGGTCGTATACACTGCGAGTTGCCTGTGAAAATAGCCTTCCCTGTTGTGCAAGCTCTCTTTGTCATTGTGCAGGTAGGTTAAAACTATAAAGAATGGTTTTAGGCTATTTGTTCTTGCATTTAAACATACTCTCATCCATATTTCAGACATACATCCTCTGGGTTCATGCAAAAGACTGTGTGCAGATACAGCAAATCGTCACACGGTGAGTTCTAAGTGGTCGATGACTTTATGCAGACTCGGAATGTTATCTGGTTTTGTCAGTTTATTTCCTTGTCTTTTGCTATCTTGACCTCAGCGTGTAGTCAGGAAGATAAATTAATGGGAAAATCTGACAAATGGAGGCAAATGATCACACCCTTTCAGAACTGTAAAGGAAATGAGTTGTTTGTAGCGACCTTGACTAGCCCATTGACTGTAGAGCTGTATGGGGTCTCGGTGTGAAGCAATGAGCATACATTTTTAAGTTAGCTCAAGGAAATGTTTGCCCGACTGAAGGTTTGATAGGATAGCGGCGGCATGTGCCTCTTGTATTGAGTTTACACTTCTACGAAACAGGGCCACAAGCATGACTGCATAGTAATATTAACTCTCTCATTGCAGTTGTGGTCTGATGTTGACGTTGTCTACGAACCTCATGGTGTGGATGACGGCAGTGACAGAGGAGTCACTCCATCAAACAGTGGCTCCAGCCGACCCTTCATACAACAGTTCCTCAAACGGCGGCTACAAAATCGATGTCACATCACAAGGTGCTTTAATAAGCAAATCATATTGCACACTTTTGAGACTTCCCTGTTGAAAAAAACAGCATATGCTGGTTAGGTATGTTTTGAAGCATGGCAGCTGGTCCTAATAAGCGACTAGTTCCTACTCAGGACCATCTTAAACCAGCTCATGACCAACTAAGGACCAGTTCAAACCAGCTCAAACCAGCTGCAACGCTTCAAAACATCCCTATCCAGCATATGCTGTTTTTTTCAACAGGGTTGTGTACTTAAGTTAAATTATATTGACAAATATTGAATATCCTGTATTGATTTGCTTAATTTGCATTTTGGAGAGTATCCACTGAACGTAAACAGTGTATGCTGTTCTGTGCCAGCTGCGTCACGCGGATATGTTGTTTTCGTTCAAATCAAAGCGTAAACAACGTAGAAAACTTATTTGGACAGTGACACAGCTGACAGAATAGCATATGCTGTTTACGTTTAGTGGATACTCTCCAAAATGGCACCAGGGTGACATGGAGGAGACGAATTGTTGAATAAAGTCGTTATTTTTGTTTTCTTTGCACACAACAAGTATTCTTGTAGCTTCGTAAAATTACGGTTGAACCCCTGATGTCACATGGATTATTTTACCAATCTCCTTGCTACGTTTCTGGACCTTGATCATGGTAATTACATTGCTGTC